TAAAGAGTAATTGCTGAATTTGTTAAGTTTTAGAGGGGGTGTACTCATTTATGCTGTGCACTGTATATGTTCAAAACTGTGTCAACTTAATAAGTTTAACATTATTTTAGTGCTTTACAACTGCCCCATAGACTTCCATTGTAAAGTGTGTACTCTACAGTTTACAAAAATACAGTAATTGTTGTTGTTGTTGTTGTTTTTATAAATTGAGGAATGAGTCAAGAATTGCTTCACTGTCTTCAATTAATGCTGATTTTAAATGAAAATTACATCATATTTTGCTTAAGTATACTTAAGTATAACAGCAATGAAATCTAGTTACATCACTATTAAACATAATAGGAATTTAAAAAATAGAAACTCAAATGTCAAATAGACATACCAGAGTATGACTTCTTCATATTTCTTTGTCAAGCATTGCATGAGTGCAGTGGTGTGCGGTGGTGTTCTGAACATGAATTTACATTAGATTTTTTTTTATAATTGGGGGGGGGGCCCTTTTATATTTTTACATTAACAATGTAATCAATATTCTATTTTATTTGTGAACTTATGTTCAGCTATTCTTTTTGATAGTTGACGTAACAATTTCTGAATTTTTTAGATCATCAGCCATCAAAGCTCGGTAAATACTGGTCACTGACACGGAGATTTACTTCAAATTTCACCAAGCTGATTACTCACCAAAAACTCCCTCGCAGGGGATTTCAGAAGTTAGGGGACAGAAATGTCTTCTTTTTTTTTTTTTTGTCTAATTGACAGGTTCTATTTTTTTCTTATCTCTTACTTTTAAGTGCTGTTGGCCATTAACCAGTAATTTGTATTCTATAATATTTTCCTATATTTTCCTAATGACAATTTTATGATTGATTTATATACTACAAACACGTTTTTGCCATTTTTATCACAGAATAAAGCAGAACATATATTTTATAGTTTCGAAAGGCTACTGTAATAAGTGATGTCAATTAGCACTGCATTATTGATATACACTGAAAAAAATTATAAACGCAACTTTTGCCCCCATTTTTCATGAGCTGAACTCAAAGATCTAAGACTTTTTCTATGTACACAAAAGGCCTATTTCTCTCAAATATTGTTCACAAATCTGTCTAAATCTGTGTTAGTGAGCACTTCTCCTTTGCCGAGATAATCCATCCACCTCACAGGTGTGGCATATCAAGATGCTGATTAGACAACATGATTATTGCACAGGTGTGCCTTAAGCTGCCCACAATAAAAGGCCACTCTAAAATATGCAGTTTTA